ATTCCAGAGCCGAAGCTCTGCCTGCGAGAAGCCAGATTTTGTGAAGTTCTTCCAGATCTACCTAAGAATACTACTTTTACAAGCCATAGTGTTGTCCGAGCATCGTCTAATCAAGTGAGCGTGTAGTTACTTTCTTCTACCACATAGATATGAAGTATTTGTTATGAAATACGTGCTATATGTTTATATGTTGTTTGTTTACTTGAGATAGTTGTTGCATGAATGTTTTATACATATTTTTAAATAATTTAAACTATATATGTAATTTATATCTAAAAATATGTTGGGTAGAGCATGGGTAGATGAAATAGTTGGTGTGTGAGGAAAGATTACTTTGAGGATGAGACGAAAGATGATATAGATCATGAGATGAGGATGACAGGTGAAAAATGAGTGAAACCTTTACCCAAACGATGGCCCCTGTCATTCAACAGAGTAGGGATGACAACCACAGACTATTCTAGATAGTCATGTGGAACACTAGTAGGCTTGCAACTTGTAGGTGTTATGGACTTGATGTTCACCGTTGTACTCTAAAAACCCATTGATATGTATTGCTAGAGGATGTCTCGGAACCAATATTGTCAATAAACGAGATAAACCCCGACGACTATGGAGTTAGCATCGGTTAAGTGAACCTTGGTGACTATGGAGTTAGCGTCTGTTATATAAATCTTGGTGACTATGGAGTTAGCGCCTGTTACATAAACCTTGGTGACTATGGAGTTAGCGCCTGTTACATAAACCTTGGTGACTATGGAGTTAGCGCCTGTTAAAGTGAACCTTGGTGACTATGAAGTTAGTGCCTGTTAAGTGAACCTTGGTGACTATGGAGTTAGCGTCTGATAGCTATGGATTTAGTACCTGATAGATAAACTTTGGTAGCAATCGACTTCGTGCCAGTTCCTTAGGTAAATCCTTAGGAACGAATGAATAAAGGATAGTTGATTCTTAGGGTAAAACCTTAAGAAATAAAGAAGATAATGAGGATGGGTAATTGGGTTGATTGTTTGATGATTGAATATAATAATTATATTATTTTGGGTTGAAAACCCTGTATGCTCTCTAGACTCCCAAGCCTGACCCACTCGGTTTTCTTTGCATTACAGGTAACGGCACAAGAGTATAAGTTGGTGGACTTGATGAGAGATTTTAGATTATAGATCAGTAGTTATAGATAAGTGTTGTAAGGTCTATTTTATACTGTTTATGCTTTTGGTCTGTATCGGACAATGACATCCCGAGATTTTGTTATTTAATGAAAATGCATTTCTTTAAGAAATGCTTTGATAAATTTTATTTTATCATATTTTATTTTGGGAACAAATTCTGCAACTCTTTCAATCAAAGGATTACTCTAATTTTATAAAACAAAGCATAAACAAATCGGTCTTTTCTGGCCGTGAAATTGGGGATGTCACACCTGTAGATCCCATACTTCCTTGGTTAGTGACCGGAGGGGCATTTTTTTTGGAATTGTCAGACGCTTTCCTCTGACCAGGGGTTCTACTCAGAGGTGGTGGTAGGTTTTTGTTTGTAATGGAAAGAGCGGAGGATGAAGAAAGGATCGGTTGTGTAGACATGATCTTTCGAGGATTTTGAACACCACGGTCCCACGGTGGGCGCCAAATTGTTTTGGTAAAAAATTAGATAAGTATAAATCAACCAAATTGATTAAGAGGTTGTGATGTTCAAATTGAGCAATAGAAAAAGGCAAAGAGAATTGCACGATTGTTTACAATGAAATCCTTTGATCCTTGCTAGAATCTCTAGCACAAAACCTTGGGAGGTGATAATGACCACCTGCCTTAATGATTTTATTAATATAAAATGATGATCACATAGAGTATTTCAGTAAGAACAAGTGAAAAAGTTCGTAGAGTAAACTAAGTGTAAGTAGAGTGTGTCTTGTGCGAGATACACGTGTTAATTTATAGTCTAAACTAGCTAACAATATGACCGATATTCCTGGGATTCTTTATGACCAACTTTTTGAACGTTGTTGGACTTGGTGTTCCGGGTCTTTAGCATAGTTGAGACGATTCTCTGTTGAGAATAAGTCTTCTCTTGACTATTTCAGCACATGTGTTAATTAAAAATGAAATACAACCGTTATAAATGTTAGTAAATAATACGGTAATAATCGGGAACCTGGGATAGTTGAGGATCCTGAATATCTCATGAGGTTTGAAGATCCTGAATGCTTTGAGGATCCTGACCCTAACAACAGGTTTTAACAAGAGACATATTTAAGCAAATTTTGGTCAAATTTTTTGGTACAACGGACAAAAACATATTTCTCATTCTCTTTTCTTGCTCTCAAACTTCTGAGTATTATCCAATTGAGGATTTGGGAGTACCACCCAAATACTTCGATTTAAAAGTGTTAAACACGATCTTAGAATTTCTAGGTGCTTTGAATCCTAAATCGCTAAGGAGCTTTAGAACTTTTATTAGCTAATTTTCCAACAATTAGCAACGAATTATTGTTTATGCATTGCTAATTGTTACTATTTAGATAATAGATAATGTGCCCACACAAAAATCTACCAAAATATAGTTAACAGAAACCATTGCTATTAATTTGGTAGTGATGTGGAAGTTCTATTACATTTTATGGTGGGATTTTGGTTATTACTTCTAACAAATGCTTAATGACACATTAATGTATTATATATGAGAAATTATATTTTTGGTCGTTTTCCTATATTTCACTTGTTCCACTTCTATGTACGAAATAAGGGATAATGACTTGATAGGGTAACAAACTTTCAACTTTGTTCAGATATAGTCAGTGAACTTTTTTTCATGCTTAATTTATCTCTGAATTATTTGAAATTATTCACATTTTACCTTTATTATCGGTTGTAACCGGTCATAAGGGTAAAATGTGAACAATTTCAAATAATTCAGGGGTAAATCAAACATGAAAAAAATTTCAGTGAATAAATATGAACAAAATTGAAAGTTCGTTACCCTATCAAATCTTATCCGTTTTTGCAGTCATCGTTTATTTTATTTTGCCTATTGGTAGCAACTACGATTAATAATTTTGATTTCAGTCACTACAAATTGTTTTGTTGTGTTTGTACGGAGTATTACAAAATAGAATATATACCACATAATCTTGTTGTAGTTCATGACTTTAATCCTAATCCGTGAGATAAACTTTTAACTAGAGTTTCTTTATTCACCTATAAGTGAAACATCAACCCACAAAGAAGAAATTATCAAAAGAGTTTCACAAAGGGAAAAAGAGACATATACGAACAATTAAACAAAAAATAAGATCAAAAATCAAAAGGAGCACAGTGATAAGGAACATATAGAACTAACACCAAATAGAAAAGTTAGATGCAAGTAATAACTAGTAAGAAAAGTATCGATAAAAAAAGTTAAAAGTAAAAATAATCAAAATTGGGCAAATACATAAACAATGTAAAGGAAGCTAGCACCAGACTATTCATGTACTGCTCCACAACCCTGAGCTTATTCATCCACTCTGTAATTAAAGTTCATGTCCTTGTAAAGAGAAAAACCGCATTCAAATCTAACATCTATTAGCTTCAAAACGGCCGTCTCCATCTTTTGGAGTGAAAACCGTCGTCTATGTCCTAAGTCTATATTCTTTTTTCCTCGCACGATCTACAACAACCGTCTCCACCTTTGTGGAGTGAAAACTATCGCCTATGTCCTAAGTATATGTATGAAACCACCATATATTTGTTCCTTCAGTTTTTGTGATTTAAGAATCTCCTACTGCATTTATAAGTGTTGTTTCTGATACCTTATACTATAAAGGTATATTACACGATTACAACATCTTCATTTTTGTGACATCCATATTCTGTTTGTGCTCATCCTTAATAACATTTAAAACCATTTATGGGATGATGACTTGAAAGGGTAATAAACTTTCAATTTTGTTTACATTTAGTCATTTAACTTTTTGATGCTTGATTACCCTTGAATTATTTAAAATTGTTCGCATTTTACTGGTTGTAACTGGCTAAAAGCGGTCATATGGGTAACATTTATACGTTTCAACTAGTTCAAAGGTTAATAATCACGAAAAAAGTTTAGTGATCAAATTTAATCAAAAGGTAAAGCACCTTATTCTTTCAAATCATTATCCCACGAAATAATTAGTTATGTAGTTGGACTGTTCCTAATCAAAATAATACTGTCATCTCTCGATTTTAGATTAGGATTTAGGAGTCAATAGCCAATATATACTCAACCACCATTACATATTCTTTAATAAGTTGCATTATTCTGCGTCTAGAAAATTGCTTGAATACTATTCTATTCGACCTAAATTACAAACCCATAAATAAGATATTATTATATTCAATTATTTATATAATCAATGGGAATCATGGAACTCTCAAACAGGAAATATGGGGAATAGTTTTATTCTTATTATATGGTTGAAACGACTTCTAAATAAAATTCCACCTTTGCCAATTTGAATGGTGATTAAAAAAAAAAATCCAAATTGAGATAATATAAGACAATAGATGAAACTAATTTAATAAGTTTTTAGTTATTAGAAAGTAATTTGATTGAAAGATCTTTTCTATTTTCTATATTTACAAAATTAACACTAACCTAAGATTCGCCCAGATTTAATATGTATAGCTTGAAATCCAAATTAATATATGGACCCCAAGATTTTAATAAATTTGACCTTACTTAATTTGGCATTCTACAACTCAATTTTTGTTCCCATAAATGATAGATTTGAACCTATTACTTGCTTAAGCACAAAGTCGGGCACCGGATTCTTCAACAAAACTTTTAGCAAATATACAATAATCTTTTCAGATATTATTGGAGAGATGATTTTCAAGAGCACGAATTCAGAATCAAATCTACTTGTTGAATAATATGAGCACCCAAGTGGGCAAGTTTTATCCTTATAAATTGTGCCTATCAGGCATTTGTTATAAGGCAAGACAGAAGTGATCAAATACCCAGCAAAAGTAAGAAAGCAATCAATGTCTAGGCACGCCATTAATGGGGGCAGTCGGCAAACGGTTGAGTCTGCACCACCAAGACTAATTCGGGTAGAGAGGCGGCCAAGCATGGAGAAGAAGTTAGCTACCATTAAAGAAGATGAATGCAGCAGTGGTGATCAGCTTCAAAATTTCCATGGAAATCGTGCTGCAGCATTTGCATCTTCTTCCTCGAAGACCCTTAACACTACAAAACACTATGCTTGTAATTAGTCTAGTTGTTTACGTTCAATAAGGATTTTCCATTCGTATACGTTCTTAATCATGGAGTGAATGCATGGTAAATATGTGATAACTCAAAGCAACTTTGTAACTGTTGTTTGAAACCTTAAGGACATGATTAATTATCTCAATCCTTGATCATGTCATGTTTTGGAGGTTATTGTCGTTTTCTTATTTATGTCTAGAGTTATAGAACCAATCATGACATGAGCTGCAGTTGCATCTTTTTAGGCCCGGTGGTTTTCGTTGAGTTTCTAAGGCTGGGTGAGTGGTGGGTGTGGGTGCTGACCTGTACCTCAGCCATCTTCTTTGCCAAAGAGATAGAAATTAACGACAGTGGGGCTGCTGAGGAGAGAGAAAATCTCGGCATGTCGAGGACCCCGCACAATGTTGTCAAGCTTCACACCAGGGGCAGTTAAGGGGTTCTCAGTGTGGTACCGGCAACACCTATTTTTTCTGTCCGTAATAGAAAAATTTTCGAATTTCAATTTTTTACTTATTTTTCATGTATTGGCAACATCTATTTCATCCCGACAACATCTACTATGTATTCTCGCGTCCTCCCCTGCTCCACACCAGCTTCTCCCTTACCCACATCAGCTACCACATCATCCTTACACTCCCACCCTCGCCCGGCCTAAGGTGTGGAAAAAGCTTTCTTATGGTAAGATGGTCAATGCGTAGAACTCGGTTAAATCTACTAATAGTTTGATAGATAATGACCCGATCGACCAAATATATCACGGTTTTGCTTATGACTCATTAATATAAATAAATAGATAGTTCACTACAACAAAACGAATTTTCGCTCAAGTATATTGGCGACGAATTTCAACAGGATTTCAAGCTAATTAAGGGTTCAAATCTCGTCTGAAACATAGTGGATTCAAGAGTAGTTTAAGATTAGATTAGATTTGTCATTCCACTAATAATAATAATAATAAAACTAATAATAATAATTAAAATAATAATATTTTGTTTTTTTAAGTTAAATATATAATAAATTAAGAGCAAATAAGATTTATTAATATTCCTATATATCTTATTGGTTAGTTAACATTATCATTATTATTAATTAATGTGATTGCAATTATTGATATTACTATATTTTATTATTATTATTATTATTATTATTATTATTATTATTATTATTATTATTATTATTATCTACTATAATAAATGAAGGTTTTTTGCTACATGTCATCTTCTCATTCATTTGGACACATGGTATTTTCTAAAAATTTTAAATTTTCTATTTTCCACTTGTCATTTTATTGTATTTTTCATTTTATTAAATTAAAATTACACATTTAATATATAAAGTAATATATATGTAAGATATTTATTAGAAAGGGTTTATATATGTAATGTATTCAATACATTAAAGACTCATTAATTTTAATAATTCAAAAAATTTCTTATTTTTCTTATTAATTCAAAATTTTCAAATTGTTAAAATTTTAAAATTTTCTTTTTTTTTAAATAAACTCATGTAATACATGGGTCTCACATCTACTTATTTATTATACAATTAATTGCAAACATCCTTATGAACAGTCTTGGCTTAGTAAATTTTTTGGCGGCTAATTATCTTTTATCAGCATATATTATTTATCGATGTGCCTCTATCTATCTCTTTTCCTTTAACTCCATTGAAACAAACCCTTTTTGGGGGGTTTTGGGATTGCTTTTAAAACATTTTTTTTTAAGTTTTCCAAAAAGTTAAAAAATGGCTAAAAAATATTTGAATAATGCAAAAGATCTTTTAAAATAATTTTTTGTGTAGGAGGAAAAGTTAGTGTTTCAAAAGTCACAAAATCATATATTTTTGTGACTTTTAGACTTTTTAACATGAAAAATATGACTTTTACCTTAAAAACAAATACAAACATATTTTAAAGACTATCTTTTGGAAAAAATCAGTAATCAAAAAATCATTTTACAAAAAATGACTTTTAACATCAAAAAGTAATCCCAAACACCTCTTTCCTCTAACTCCATTGAAACAAACAAGCCTTCGATCCTTCTAGCATATGAAGTATGAACAATACCCATGCTCTTCGGAGATGAAAACAGTCATCGAGGTGCTCTCCCACCGTCAATCTCATCCAATCTACTTCTTCCACGATGGGTCCTCTCTTAAAAAACATACTCAAATCGGAAATTAGTATAAATTCTTGAAGTCATTTAATTTCTAACTAGTATTTTGGACACGGAAGAGTGTATAAGCAGGTAAACCCTGATTCCACTATTTGTTTCTCAATTTCCCATTTTTTTTACCTTTTCATTTTTTTTGAATCTTATTGATTTTAATTTAACCTTTACATGAGAGTGAAATTCTTATATTGTGGTAGCTTACTGTTTATTTGGATTCGACTTTTGTTTATTAGAATAAGAATTTAATTATGGAATATAACTTAATGTTCTTTGTGCTTCTTTAGTTTTGAATACCAACTGCTTGAGAAAGATCCTTATTTAAAAATGTGTTTCTACTTAGATTAAAGTTTTATTTGTTACAAGTTGGTAAATACACATGCATGTCCTACGTTCCTTTTTTACTATTTGTTTAATCTCTCGTCTTCCTTGTTACCTTTTTAAATAGAAAAGAAAAGAAAAAAAAAGTGGTAAAAATAAGGTGGTGTTTTATATTTTTATAGGTGAATAATTTTTTTTAATTGAATATGACCATTTGAAAATGGTCGAAATCATCGAAATTAGAAGCAAAACTTCAGTTGCCCGTTGTTACCAGCACCACGGATGACCACATAACGTGCATCAATGACTAAGGCGGGCGGTGTTCAACCGTTACCATGTCGTTTCCGGCAGTCCACGTCGACAAAAACGCCCACAACGTTACCCATCTACCCTAATAACTAAGAATAATTTTGCTACATGTCTTTTTCTCCTTCATTTTGATACTTGTCATTTTCTAGATTTTTTTGAATTATTTAATATCCACTTGTCATTTTTATAATTTTTTTTCCTTTTAATTCAAATCTCAAATGCCACCTCATATTAATTAATTTTATAAATATATTCATTAATATACATAATTATTTTCTATTTTTAATTCCTCTTTTTTTTAATATATTAATTAATGGATATGTATATTAATATCGATAGCACATTCTATTTGTGAATTCATATTAATTAATTTATTAGTATAGATTAATTAAAACCAAATTATATAAATAGTACGTGTGGTTTACCAAAATATCACAAACTCAATCGTTACTTATTTTTTTATGAACATGGTCTTTGTGGTTACCAAAACTGTTTTTTCATAAACCCGTGTAATACACGAAATAAAAGGATAGATTGTTTCTTTTTAAACTTTCAAGATAATTCATGAAACTGGACAAGAGTTTGGGGACTATTAGTAAAATCCATCCACAATTACGACCTACCTTTTATATCAACATAACACGAAGTATAGTTGTACTTTAGCTTTAACGAGTCAGACTCATTATATGCACATGAGATTGATCGTCTTATCTCGTCTTGTTGTAGGACAAAACATTTGCTAAAGTTAAAGAGCAAAGTACGACACACTTCATTGACTCATCACACACACACACACACAAAAAAAAAAGTATTGTGTACATACCTATCAATCTATCATATACACGTATATGATATACATACTGTATATGCGTGAAGAATACATGGTTTAGCGATATAACACATTTTCAATCCAAATCCATGACGTTACCAAGGAACCATTACGCTCCATCTGTCCGCTAGTGTGAAATGGAACCCCTTAAAAAACTACTTTATATTAGTATTTCCAAATATAAACACATACACATATATAATATACACACATGGATCGTATATTCGCATGACTTCGTAATATGCCACCAAACATATATATCTTTGTGACCTTTTCCCCCAAGCATCCATGAGTTGCTTAAGGTAATTTCGATGCATGCTTTAGATTAATTATAATTTATCGCGATGATATTATTTGAAAAGAGGCATATAAGATATAAAGAAAGATAGAGTGCTACATAGAGTAAGAGTAGGCAGACGTGTATCTTATCGTCCACGCATAGACCACAAATTAGTCTAGTGGAATGTGGGTGGTCAGAAAACAACATAAATCTCGCGTACATTGTACTACACGGAATATATAAGTAGCCATTGTACATTTGTACTAAAACCTCTTAAAAATTTTCTTCATGCATTTGTACAATTGTACTCGTTACCAAATACCAATTTAGACCTTATATTTAAATGCCAATATATATATATATATATATATATATATATATATATATATATATATATATATATATATATATATAAAGAGAGATGTAGGTTAAAATGTTTCTCACATCTATTATACGCTAGATTGCATCAATAAAAATTTTATAAAATTAAATTATTATTTAATAAATAAAGATAAATATTAAATGATTTCATAATTATATGTATATTAAATGATATTCATAATTATAATTTATTTTTGTGGAAACTAATTAAATTCATCATTAATATCAGCAATATTCTTTCAAAATGAATTCACATCTAGGTTTTCATGTATGGGTTCATATTTTGTTTCATTACCCACTCACTCAAAATACAATAAAGTTGTCTGAAACATGAAAAACAAGAGTGTATTCTAACAGAATGAAGATTTATTCTAGAAAAATGAGAGTATATTCTAACAAAATGAGAGTCTATTTTAAATGCAAATTATTCTGAAATAATGTTATTGCTGACATTAATAACGAATTTAATTACTTTCCATAAAAAGGGAATTATAATTATAGATATCATTTAATGTACATAAAGTTATAGAAATCATTGAATATTTATCTTTATTTAATTAAATAATTTAAGACAAAACTTCAAAAATGGTCCTTGTGGTTTCCGGAAATATCAAGTTTAGTCCCTAAGTTCAAAAAACCTCACAGATGGTCCTTGTGGTTTCAAAACTTTTAACAAATGGTTCTTCCGCTTAACTCCGTCAGTTTTCTACCGTTAAATGATGGATATTTTCGTCATTTCAATACACAGGAACCATTTATGAGGTTTTCTCTATTTAAAAAAAAAAAGAAAAAAAATATAATTATTTAATTAAAGGGTCTCTTTCTCTCTCTCTCTCTCTCTCTCTCTCTCTCTCTTTCTCTCTCCTGTATAAAAAAACACACACATCACAATTCTTCAAGAACAGTGTCTTGATCGAGGCTATGGAAGGAATCAATCAGATGCACTCTCAGTGACGCCGGACCTTTTGCCAAATGCATTCCGATCTCGTCGGCCAAACCAAATACAGAAAACGCAGATGTCGTGGCTTCAAAAGCATGTGATGGGTCGATTGCAACAAAAGCAGCAATCTGAGCAGTGACTGAACATCCGCTCGCCATTGTCTTTTACATCATCGGAACTCCGTTATGCGAACCGAAAACTCTTT